TTTTCAGTACAAATCGGCAATTTCATACTTTAACCCCTATTATTACAGGCGAATGTTTCCGGTGAAGGAGGCTACCGAATGTTACAAGTGTTGAGCAACGAATGCTCGGCTCACGTCTCTCACCGCCTGTAATTCTCGCTTTTGTACGTTACATTACAAGCGAATGCTCGCAGTAAAGGAGCGCTCTAACATCATAAACAACAACTTTTGTTCCATGACTTTTAATAATTCATTTTACTTTCATACAAAAATAAAAATATTTAAATAGATCGGTCTAAACAGTGATAACTCTGTGCAAAACGCACAAGCGCGCGTGGAGGTTGTTGTGGCAGACGCTTGCACGTTTGAACCTGCCGTACTACCAAATACAGATCCGAAAAGTATGACATAGTACAACAAAAACTTAAAAGTCTATTTTTGGTAAATTTATTGTTTTGTAAAAAGTCGTGGAACAAAACGTGTTGTTATGTATTAACGTGATGTTAGTAATATATGTAGCCCTGCGAGACTATTAATATTTTACTAATAACCCTGTATATTATGGTTCCAACCACATGGATCGTAAACCTTACCATCTGGAAGACCAATGTAAATTCTCTTTTCAAATCGTCTTCTAAACGCCTCATCGATATCCCACGGATGATTAGTCGCTGCTAAGACCATTACAAGTTTGTCCTTGTGGCTAAAATACGAGTAAAAATTGGTACATTAATATCGAATTAAAATTCATACGTAGTCAGAAAAGAACCATTTTCATTAGGTCGTACCATTGATGACAACTTTTCAGGAGAAATATTTAAGGATTCTAACAACGAAATTAGTCGATAAGTAACTTTTTTATAATTAAAATAGGATAGTTATAAAATTTCACACTGTACATAATTTGTTACATGTAATTTATATTATTTTCATGACTTTCAAGTGATAAAAGCAATTTTGACGTATGATCATGACATGACATGTGGTTTTATGATACCAAGGGTACCTACGAATTTATTTTAAGATCAGCTAAAAATTTTACTACCAGATTTAAGTACTTTAACTGCAAATAAGTTTCAACCACTTTTAAGCAACCAAGGTTTTGAAACTAAACTACATTAAACGTTTCAAGGTTTCCCTTACAAGGAAGCAGCCAATCCGTCCATCTGTATCAGGAGTTCAGCCTTAAATCGTCGTGAAGCCTCATGTTCGGAGTCGGCACCACGCACCGCACATAACGAGTCCACTTCATCCAGAAATATTGTGCTTGGTGCATAGAATGCCGCCTGAAGTAAAAGTAATAAACAAAAATAAACTGCAATATTTATTTTATTGAAAAACAACGATCCGACTGGATTTGAACCAACGTTTGTTGCCTTAACGCGGCAACGTATACGGCTACACGGCGATGTGTAGCTCAGTTGATAAGGGTGATAGCCACGGTAAGGCAACATATACTGATTCGAGTCCAGTTCCAGCAATTTTGGCTTGTATTTGTTCGATCTTTGAGTCAATAATAAAGATAAGACTGATCATATGTTGTGCTTCATAAAAAAAACCGCTTGGAAACCTTATGTAAATTAAAATTGCTGAGTAAATTAAGTAAATATAAATAATAATTTACGCTTTCAAATTATTTAGCTTACAACAGTGTGACATGAAAATTAATAAGTTTGGAAACTATTCATAATTACTATACAAACCATGTCAAATAATAATCTGACAAGCTTTTCCGAGTCGCCACGGTATTTAGACGTAAGTGTAGCAGAAGAGACGTTGAAAAACGTAGTCCGACATTCAGTGGCTACTGCTCGTGCCAACAATGTTTTACCAGTTCCCGGTGGCCCGGTCAATAAGACGCCTTTCCATGGTCTTCGAATGCCCTGAAAACATACAAAAATTGACATAGAAATATTATAGCCAAGCTTAATCTCAATGTGATGGTTTTATTATAAAACTTCAATAAACAGCGTCAACATCAACTTCGTGACAAACCGTAACAATAACTTAAATGGAATTGAAATATATCACGCTCTCTATTTTGAAAAACTTTCACTGACCGACTACTAAACTTACATTCTCCCACATTCAATGCAGTAAACACTCGTACACACCATATTGATTTGCTCTCTTAATGGGCAAAAAGAAATGGCCAGCGGCAGCAAACCGATAACATCAAACACGCAAATCACCGATTTAAAGTAAGCTAGAACAACTTTAAGGTAGTGACTTAAAAAATAAGTGCAAACGCATTTTTCAGTTGTGTATATAATGTATAAAGTAAGGGAAAATCAAACGGCTTCACAATATAGGGTTACCTTAAAGTATTCGGGCATAACTAGTGGCAAAACTACAGCTTCCTGTAAAACAGACTTTGCATCGTCCAAACCTACTACATCCTTCCAGTGTACATCAGGGTTCTTTTGAACAATATCTCTTTCTAGCGTTTCTACTAAATGTAACTCATATCCTGCTGCGTCAAATACTTTTTCATCTCTTTCTATAAGTGTGCACGTATCTCCTTCAATGGGTACATCATTTTTTCGAATGATAGGTTTGACAGGTGCGAGTTGTTTGCCCCCCTTTGACCTGACTATTCTCTCGACAGATCTTGTCTTTCTTCCACTGCCTACTGTACCAGTAGAAGACGCTTTTCTTGTAACAATGGATGGTAGGCTCGGTTGTATATTGCTATCTCTTTTCCTTAAAGTACCAGCCCATTTTTCTGTAGTTGGATCCGACTGTTTGCCTTGATCCATAGATGTTTCAGAAAACTGAGTATTTTGAGTTGGTCGAACAACTGTAACAAATTATAATTGATTATTTATTGGCATTGATGTAAAATGTATTTAAGACAGATTAACACATTGAAATCGTAACTAGTCCACGCAAATCTTTCGTGTGGTATGCCACGTAACTTTGTTTTATTTAAGTTCCTACAAAGCACGGAGTAATATGAGAGGTATTTTAGTGGTATCCCTTTTAAATTCACAGTTTCAGTTCATAGAAAACATTTTTTTTACAAAAATATGTTCGGCCAGATAACATAATAAAAATCATAATTTTATAATGTTTGCAAATTATTAGCCATCTGCTTTAGTTCGATAAAACCGTAAATGCCATGAGCAATCAGTAGTCATATAATTACGAAATTTTTGTGTATATTTTCAGTTTTTATTTCCGTTCCCTTTCACTTTCCGGAGTAATTATTGAAGCTATAGAAATTAGGAATACAAAGAAGATGTCATAAAAGTTGTGCTAAAGAGTTGTTATGGCGTTATAATTAATAGTGATTAATTGATTCATGATTACATTGTTTGTTATGAAATAAATATTCCTCAAACACTTACTCTGCGTCTGTGGGTGTCGAGTACCATTCGCTTCATGCCAGTCAGACGTGTTCCTGGCTCTTTCTCTCCGTGTATCGCTTCTCTCGGTTCGCAACCCATTTCTCGGCGGTTCGGATTTGTCGCCATCTTTGCTGTTATGTGTGTTTCGCCTAGTGGTCATTCTGGCGAAGCCGAAGGGCTGCAAACTTTCGTTCATCATTCTGTCCATCATCCTGGCCATGGAATGAAATCCAGATGTAGGGCTGAAAGAAAAAAAATATAGAAAAAATGTATACCTACGGTAATCAAAGACGTTTCTAATCCAATTTAGAAGAATTAATTTGGGACGATAGCAAACAAAATCCCAAATACTACATCAATTATCTTTGTTTAGAATCATAGCATGTGATATGAAACAATAAAAATGTTTATTTGTGTGATTTTTTTCTTGGTAACCAATAATTTTATTTGGTGTAAAGTAAAGTAATAATGGTAAATATTTCAAAAAATCTACCAACAATGGCGGACAAATTTTTATAACAAATATTTACACTACTACAAATTGAAGTCTTCCGTGGTTCAAATTATTATATTTTAAATCTGTTATTATTTCCTAGTATTTCATCAACATCATCAGAGCCTATCACAGTCCACTGCTGTGCAAAGGCCTCTGACAATACATGATATTTCGCCCGGCTTTCAGCTTTTCGCATTTGTGTGCTGCCAGCAACTTTTCGTAGATCGTCATTCCATCTGGTCAGATGGTGTTCTACACTACGTTTTCCGAGCAGCCGTAGTCTACACTCAAGAACTCGTTTCCCCCATCGGTTCACGGTTCTTCGGCAAACAAGGCCAACCCACTGCCACTTCAACTTGGTTATTCTGCCAGCAATGTCAACGATCTTACTTCTCTATTAGATAATCTAAATTCGAAATTTATCCTTCAGTGAAACTCCGATCATAACTCGTTCCAGAGTTCAATGACGCCAAGTCTAAGATGTCAATATTACATTATCATTATTATATTAGTTTTGCCATGATATGAGTTTTGCGTTCCATAGTCTACGGAGTCGAAGCAACCAATAAGTAGCATATTTTACGTGTAATACATTTAATGGCAATACTTTTTATGTGGTGGCAATACATTTAATGGCATTACTTTAAAAATCTTTGTTATCTATTTTGATGTTCATTGGAAACAAACAAAAAAATATTAATTTTCCTGTTTAAATCGTTACATACCCGATAATAGAGTCATTCCCGAAGAATTGTCTAAGCCCCGTGATATTTGGATAAAGTAAATCTCCAAAACCGAAATCCATCTTGCGCCTCAGCACTCTTCCTACATTTACTAAAAACATATGTGATTACTGATGATACATTTAATTGGAGTCCACTGTTAATCTGTTACGAAAACATAATTTTTCGGACTTGTTTACAATCAATAATGAAACTGTGCCGTTGCGTTGCTTGGACACATGTTCAGGGTAAATTTTAATTCTTGGTTTTAGGGTTGGAACTTGACGGAAAATTGTGTGCTCTTTGACGGGTCTGTTGATATATCGTCGCCATGGCAACTGGATTGCGGAAACTGACCGCAGATTGGTCACATTTTCTTTTACAAAGTTTTTTATACGTATATTTTATAAAATATTCGTACCATTTTAGGTCTTAGTGCAAGGAGTTATTGAACAATATTTATGTTAATATGTTTCGTATAGCTGAATATTTAATTTTGCCTAAGGTCCTTGACTGGTCTACTTTTTCGAGAACCTCATTTATCATTTTCACGAAGACGGAGCAACCAAGGCGGACTCATTGTGGAAAATATAGTAATTCTACAATTATTTCTAATTTAGTATGTATCTGTTAATAGTACGGATGTATTTTTATGTAAACCCACAATACTCCAAGATTTGTCGTATTAGCTTTCTAAATACTGGCAGCAATAATATAAAACGTTTGTGGAATTACATCTATTAGCCAGGTTTTATTGAAATCGAATTCACCTGTAGTTTGCTACCCTTTCTTCTAATATTAATGGCTTTGCCTCCGCATTTAGCCAATGAAAGGGTTGGGAAAGCAGAATTACAGATTATGGAAGAAGTACGAAATTTGGATGAAAAATTATATGATAAGTTGGGTAAGTGGGTAGCTATTATATATTGGTGTACATATTAAGGCTTGATATTAGAATTTTCGATAAATAAGGTCAGTACAATATAAACATCTTTGGTACATGAATACAGTAAACTTGGTAAGGAGGTGGGGAATGGGACACTGATTGCCAGGAGTTCGGACATGAAAGTATCGTGGTCAAATAATCTAAGGAGTAATCGAGTAATATACACACAAAAAAATCAATTCAATTCAGAACGTCCTCCGTTTTTTAAGTCGTTAAAAATAATATTGATGAACGAACAACATTGAAAAAGTTAATTATACAATATTATGACTATGAAGCCAATATACAAAATAAATGCATAGTCCCTTGTCGAAATTATATTATTTGGTATTATATTTGACTAGCATAGACAAATATATACTTAAATCAGCGAATAATTCCGGAACATTGTTACAATGGAAATGTGCAACTTGGGTAAAGGAACTGGGGTAAAAAAATAATACATTTTTTTTATCTTTTGTATTATTATGTATTTGTCTCCGTGTGCAATAAAGTATATTTGGATTGTATTGCATTGTGTACAATATTATCTAAAATAAAAATATTCCAGGAATTCTTCATGCGATATCAAAACGTTAATTTTGCTTATATTATTTAGTATTTTCGAGTCGATCGACTGAAGAAGAAAATTACTTTGGATGAATAATTGTTACCAATTGTCTTGTATTATAATGTCAATGTCATAAAGTATAACTAACTAGTGCCCGCGACTTCGTCTGCGTAGAATGAATACTTCGAGTAGCCTACTTTATTACTTACTTGAGAAACCATTGGTTCTCTATACAAACTCTTGTCCCGTATTTCACCCCCTTTGAGATTTACTTTTGTGGTAAATACCATATTCATCAAATTTGGTTTAGAGTTTAGACGTGAAAATGTAACAAACAAAGTTACTTTAGCATTTATATTTTTTTTATTTAACGGCCTCCGTGGGCGAGTGGCTTGCACACCGGTTTTCATGGTGTCGCCATCTCTGAGGTCCCAGTTTCGATCCCCGGCCGGGTCAGTGTAGAAACTAACTTTTCTACATTATCTCGGGTCTGGATGTTTGTGGTACCATTGTTGTTTCCGATTTCCATAACACAATTGCTTTAGCTAATTACTTTTGGATCAGAACAACTAATGCGATGTTGTCTAATATTTATTTATTTATATATAATATTAGTACAGTAGTGAGTAGTATAGTAGCATAATATCATTGATTAATGCGTTATGGACAGGCGTGTCACTTAACACCAGGCGCACGACTTGCTCGTTCCGTCTTCTTCTTTTAAATGTTATGGCCCCATCGAAATAATCAATGATTTTGCCAATGTCAAGTAAAAATAACTATGTACGGTAGTTTAGTATTATTATAAAAAATATACAAAAAAAATGGCGATTTCGCTAATGTCCTGTACTTGGTATTATAAAACACCTACAACTACAGTGAAACACCGAATATCGCATATGGAATCAAAGTGTTAGATTTTACAAATAAGTACTTTGTCGACGCTGTTTTGTTACTTAAAACACGGTCGTGGTCGGGGTCAATTAAGTCATGGCTACTGTTTTGTTTACATGAGTATCAAAAGTCGATTGAACTCTACAACCTTTTGACTACGATGAATTCAATGTGTGTCAAAGTTTGATGTTTTGGAAATTAAGGTAAAAGTCACATTCGCTGTAATGTACAAAGTACCTATGGTTGAAAAACCGTTTAATGATGATTATTATTTTTTGTTAGAAATTCTAGTACATACAACAGATCAGAATCTTTTTAGGGCTATAAGTAGAATGCTAATTGGAGCACTCCCAACCTACAACTACAACACTACTATACTAGTTCCTAGTGTATTTCCCAGTCTAGTGGATGGTATCTCCTATTAAACTTATCAAGCCTATGTCAGGAGGCACCGCTCTTCCATAGCTATAAATGCATATTTAACATTTTTAACTTAAACTAATTCTAAATTTAATTTGAATCTTAAAACGTATGTGTGTGCATTTGTATATGAAAAAGTATGTGTGTGTGTGCGTGTGCGTGTGTGTGTGTGTGTGTGTGTGTGTGTGTATGTGTGTATGTGTGTGTGTGTGTGCGTGTGTGTGCGTGTGTGTGTGCGTGTGTGTGTGTGTGTGTGTGTGTGTGTGTG